TTGTTAAGTTATTTCATGTGTCTTCTTCGAAGATGTTGGCGGATATGTTTACTAAAGGTTTATCTAAGATTTTGCTGGTAAGGCATAGGTTGGCTTTAAATGTTTTTTAAGAATAAAATAAAAAGTATGTTATTAGCATGGGGGGGTGTTATGAATTTCACGTTTGTGTTTGTTGTGTATGACATCATTGTTATATGCTAATACATAGTTTCTCATTCAATCTCTCTATTAACTATTAGCATTAGTTAGTTTATATATTGTATTTCGATTTGTTAGCTGGATTTGGTTTCTCTTCACCTTTCCATATTGTTCTAAAATTTCTGTCTAGGTAAGTTCTATTACTTGATGCAATAGTACCTTTCCATATTGTTCTAACATTTCTGTCTAGCTGGAAAATCCATCTTATCACTAATGCTTGACAGAGGTCTTGAGTATTATTGGCACTAGTATAGAGAATTCATTGTTACAAGCCCTTATTGTGGCACTACAACTCTCCCAGAGACTATTCCAGAACTGTAGGAGGTATCTAAGACCTAAGAGCAGCTGGTTACAAAAGAAAAAAAATGTTAAGTTTGTTGAAAATGTTGAAAAGTCAAAAAAAAAATTGTTAGCGAAGCAACCAATCAAGGAATGGCTGTGATGAATACCAACGGATATAATCATTTGCATGCAATGTTAAGTCCACCATCATAAATCTACAACAAGAAAAGGAATTAAACTGAAGTCGCAAGTTTTTTTTCTCTTAGACTTAATTCTCAAGTTTCTTAACTGAAATCATCAAAAAGAAATTAAAACAAGGTATACCACAAGGTGTAAAAATTCAATCAACTTAACACATAAAATTTATAAATCAATTGAATTGGATATATCTATGAAAGAAAGAGGATTTCAACCAATTCAAAATTAATTCAAGATTATGATTTTAAAATTTTGAGAGTTTGACTGTGTCTGAATCACAATATGGATGGATTGGATAAATGAGATCTTCAGTAAAAGTACAAGTTGAAGCAAATGAAAGTAATAATGGGATTGGTCAGGTTGCAGCTTTGGAATCAGTTAAGGTCTTTGTTAGTTGTGAAGGGATGTTGAGTGTTTTTATTGAATGGAATGATGATTTTGTATGTCATTGTTTCTTACATTCATCAAACTCAAATTGTAATGATTTTGATTTTAATTTTTCTTTTGACTTAATCTTATGTTGCATTATTTGATGATATGAAAGTAAGAGCACCCGCAATCGTTTGCGTTAAAAAGTAGTTAGCTAACCCTAAGTTAAAGATTTTTAGCCGGGGTCAACTAATCCAATGCCATTTCCCACAGTTGTTGGCGTTAAAAGTGGATTAGGTAAGAGTTGACCCACGCATTGACACCTGGTTCCACAGTCGTTTGGCTCTGGACTAGAGCTAAACTTTCTTCATCCCTTGCGCCTCTTTTCCTGCAAAAACCGTGTTTTACATATATGCAACATGAATTCGAGAAAAATCATTCAATGACTCTCAAGGCTCATCGATGAAGATGAAGATGAAGAATATGACCAGATGCTATTATCTTTATTACATCAACCAGAAATAGACGACAAACCAAGAACACAAACGATGATTGAGCGTGACCGGATCACTGCTGACCAGTGTCTACAAAAAGACTACTTTGTAGAATCACCTCTGTATCCTCGTGCTTATTTTGAAAGGAGGTTTCGAATGAGTCCTGAGCTCTTTGGGAAGATTGCTACGGATCTGCAGAACCATAATATCTACTGGATACAACGCCGAGTATGTTATTTACCTTCATGGTTTCAATATTGGTCAAGATGATGCTGAGTCAATTTGTATTCTACATAGGATTGTTGCAAAAAACTAGGTCTTTCAACATTGCAGAAGATGACGGCAGCAATACGACAGCTAGCCTACAGGATTTCGGCTGATGCTGTTGATGAATACTTAAAGATCGGGGAAAGCACTGCTATCCAAAGTATGAAGACCTTTGTACGAGATATAATACAAATATATGGAAAAGAGTACCTCAGGCCCCCAAACTCTGCTGAACTTGAGACTATACTGAAGGAGAACAAGCGTCGAGGGTTTCCTGGATGTAAAGGTAGCATAGATGGTATGCACTGGCTTTGGAAAAATTGCCCTCAAGCATGGGCTGGTCAATTCGAAGGAAAAGAAAAAGATACTTTGGTGGTTCTTGAGGAAGTGGCCTCACAGAGTCTGCGTATATGGCACGCGTTCTTTGGCACACCAGGTGCTCTCAACAACATCAACGTCTTACAAAACAGCCCGCTTTTTGACAACTTCATCAACGGTCAGTGTAATGTTTTATATGGACCTTTAAACCCAAATAACTGATTGTAATCTTTATATGAACTTCAAAAGGCACCGAAGACAAAGTCCATTTCAAGATCAACGGGCATGAATACACTCGAGGTTACTACTTGGCCGATGGGATTTATCCCTCATGGCCAGTCCTCGTCAAATCGATCCATCGGCCTGCTGATGAAGCCAGCAGCTATTTTTCAAAGCATCAAGAATCTGTCCGAAAGGACATCGAGTGTACTTTTGGTGTTCTCCAGGCACGCTGGCATATCCTGGTAGCACCATGTCGCCTTTGGGGTTTAACGGACATGACCAATGTCATTTTATGTTATATCATACTACACAACATGGTAGTAGAAGACCGAGGTGAAAAATACCAAATTGTTATTGATTATCGAACAGAACATGGTGTTGAGGTACATCCGAATCGACTGGATCCTCAGATTGGGTATACACTTGCTCGCTACCATAATTCCAATGCTGAGCTAAGGAACAGAAATCTACACTTTCAATTATTAGAAGATCTAAAAATCTCGTTGTGGATGAAGAGAGGCACAGGTGGAATTTAGTCATCAAAGGAAATTTTATATTGTTTTTCAAACATTTCACTTTCTCCAATATTTTTCAAAGCCTTTTTTTCAATCGCTTCACTTTCTCCGCTATTTTTCAAAACCGATTGTTGTTATTGATCAATTATAATCTTGTGAAGATTTCAATACGAGTCTTGAAAATACAAGCAACTGATTCTTTGAATAGAAACAAACCAAGTCTTGACAAGAAAACAAACAACAAACTGATTCTTTCAATAAAAACAAACCCAGTCTTGAAAAGAAAACAAACTGATTCTTTAAAAGAAACTAGCCATTTGGGGGCGGCGGGCGCCGCTCTCAGCCAGAGAAATACCACATTTTGACAAACAAGCTTTCCATATTGAGCAAAGCGCGACGGCAAATGGGTTGCACACAACCTCCACCATATCTAACACTTCTGCTTTAGATCTTGATGTAATCGTATTTGGTTGTGGAGGAGGACCATCAGAAGATAATTCTATAACTATTTAACATCCAACAACCCGGAAATAAAAAAACTACAACTTATTTACGATTTGAAAGCATGACAAAACTGCATGCTTTTATAGTTTTTGCGGGGAAAACCAAAAAAACCATGCAAGTTTGTGCAGGTTTTTGATGCAGGTTTCAATTTTGTGTACCACTGATCCAAAAAAAGAGCATACCAAACAAGACCTAATTGATCTTCCAGGTGATTTCCAAACTCTGTAAAAATTACCCAAAAACCAAAAAATAACACAAATGATAAGTCAAAAGCCTTTGTGAACATTATTTATAAAGTGTGTTAAAAATAACATCCTACCAAATCCATCTCCTTGTTTAGCAACCAAAAATTTACATTCTTGATGAGATTGATGATTCTAAATCCAATATCTCAGTGAAGATCCTTTTGCTCAAGTGTGAGTGATAAAAATCATACATATCATCAGACGACGATGAGATATATCGCTAATTGTGGAAAAGGATACTCGCGTCATCAAAGCTGGTGGAGTGATATTGACCCATTCGTGATCCACACAACATACTGGGAGATCATGTAAAACGACAGATAACACTGCCCTCACATACCATTGGAATGGCAAAACTGTGCAATTCAGACCAAAGTAAGCCACATGTTTCTAACCAAAATATGGTCAGAAAAAGGAGACATACTCCAATACATCAATCTCCAGTAAAATGGCATCTGATCATATGGTCTGTTTGTCTTGGATGATTGATCAAGATTGAAACTTTGGGTTTGAATTCATTTTCTGCATTTTTTTTTGAATTTTCTTGTCTTAAAGTTGAATGCATTGAAGAAGTTGCCATAATGATCAAGACGACAACGTTGACCATCACCTCGATAATTTTGACCGTAAAACTCTTTATGATGATCAGCTGTATCTAAAAACAAAAAGAAAAAACAAATCAGTTTGACAGTTGCTAAAATAAGATTATAAAGAGAAATAGAGTAGAGTGTGATCACATTTAAAAGTGATTTTTTTAGAACTTCCAATATCTGTTCTAATCAGTTCATTCAAAGCTATTGTTTTGAAAGGCTTCAACCTGTTCATTGATCCATCAAGGCCATCTACTAATAATACTCCTCATTTGTTACCATCTGAAGCAATTTGTTCATTCCTTTTGGGTGGTTCTAAATTACAATGAGCTCTATAATTATGATTCATAATCAGTTGATTGTCTTTCAAATCGTTCTTGTCATCTGGATCTTACCAAGTTCCGTTTGATTCAGTTTGAATTGGTTGTGGTGGTAGGATATGATCAGATGGTGAAGTTTCCAACGAAGTCATACTTGACTTAATCTCAGAATGGTGGTTTGATAATAAACTAAATAGTTGACAAAATAAAAAGATGTAGGTTGAGATGGTTAATAATCCTTCAATTGGTCTTCTCAATTTAAGTTCACCTGGTAATGTTTTAGTCAAATTCAATAAGATGAGCTCGGTCTGCTGATCGTGATGATGACTTGGTTGTTCCTGCTGATTCATCTCGTGCTTGATCGAGTCGGTTGGGTTGACTATGTAAAGGCAACAAAGGTTCGTCTTTTGACTAAAGTGGAGTGCTGACAAATAACATTTGTTTGTTTCTTACTCATGTTAAGCAAATCTCCTTCACTTCAATGAGAAAACTCAACAGCATAAACTGTACCAGTAGGTTGTACTACATCACCCAAAATGAGTCTAGCAAACTTGTAAACCAATTCATCAAGGATGGTGATGAAGCTAGAAAATCAGTTTCCCAGATACTGGCTGATCTCTTGACTATTGTTACGTTGCTTGTGGTAGCATTTAGCTGGGCAAAAGTAGTGGGTTGGGAACTTACACTCGCTGAGGAAAAGAAGCTTGCGGCAAATCATGGATAGATGTGGACGGTTCAGTGGTAGGTGATTCTGCTAGTTTGGCCCAACGTGGTACCGAACGCGGTTGTCGAAGTAAAGCTGAGGATCTCAAAGCCTCTCTGACGGTTGATTTTTCACCTGAATATCAGATTTGAAAAAATCTATTCAGTATTAGAGGTCCACTTAGATAACATAGAGTGAAAGAGGTAATGAACGTTCAAAACCCAAAATGAAATAGCGACTCACAATGGCAATCAATTTGTCCGACAAAACCAATAGATTTGTAGGTCCAACACCCTACCGGACATTGAGCCATCTGTCTCAAAAGCAAATCTCCCTGCAATGACGTTCAAAAGGGTCGTTCTACCAGCGCCCGACGCTCCCATCCTTTTTTCGGTCAGAGTAAGAAACAAGTTGAGTCTTGTGACGTAAGGTGCCATCATAGACTGAAAAGACTCACAGCGCTGTACCTTTGCCAGGCTGGATATAGCCTGTGATTCCAGTGAGAAGGTCAACAGGATCACTTGACGTCTTGACTGACCAACTAAGATCTTTAAACTGACAATGCACATAAATAAACTCTTCTTTCAGACAGAAGGTGGGATAGTGGATTGGTACCCAAAGCAGTGTACTCACAGTTACGACTGCCGGGTCAAATTGAGCCAAGGAGTCACCGATCAACCCATCATGTACATCAAGTAGATGGGCCCTAACCATATTATCATCATTGCCATTAGTTTCCTCTCCTTCCTTGCTTTCCTCCGACTCTTCTATACCTTCCAGCTTCCTCAACTTATTTCTAAAACTTTTGCTATCTTTGAACACTCTTACTGCACCCAATTTGAAAAAGTCTAAAGTAGAGCTGAACCAAATTGAAGCAAAAAAGAATATGAGGGCCAAGCCGAGGATCGACAGCAAGTTGGGAACCAAATTGTTGGATGAAAACCCATAAGATTCCTTTAGGTAATCTTCACCTTTCACTATTAATGAGCCTATTTGAGCACCTGGGCCTGCACAAGTTCGATAATCTGGATCATTATACGACGGTCCGCTGGGTGCAATATGTTGCTTGGAGCAGTTTAATTCAAGTCCACGAAACTCGCTCGCCAGGATTTCCTAAAGAGGAGAGAGGATTAAGCTTCTCTGTACAAATCAAAGCTTGTCTGATGAGTTGAGAATGAAGATAGGTTACAGAACATGCCTTACCTCATAAGCATAAGAAATCGGATCGATGTAGTATTGAATCCATCTCAGAGCTGGTCAAATGGTTGGGGTGGGAATAAAGTATCCTGCGTATCTATGAAGATGAAACAAAGGCCCAGAGATGTTGGAACAGGTCAGCTGTATGCAATTCGGATAACTGATAAATCCCAATACATACACTACAAGTATATTAAGCGTGATGCCACGATATCTCATTGCCTCGCCGAATGATGGTGATAATGACGCAAACATCCTAAAGATGGCCGATAAATTAAGAGACGTAGCATAAACTGTGATCGATACCAGAATTAGTTCAAGAACGTGGTCTGATTATTTGAGAATTTTCATCAGTCCAAAGGCTATGACTAACCAATCAAAAGGTATGTTAGGAAGTGCGTGATATCAGCTTGTACACCAGCCATAAAATATGTGATGGAACCAAAGAGTGAAACTTGAAATGCAATCAAAGGAAGATCGCTAATATTCCGAGCTAATGCGAGTGCACCTGGAGAATAGAACCCAAATCGTCGATGTCGTTGAACTATAGGACGGCCAGCGAGTGTGTTGGCCAATTCTGATAGTTGAAGGTATCCATTGAACAGGATTGAAAGGAACAGGACCGATCCTCTGGTAAAAGCTGCTTCAGTGGTAGCTGGAAGTTGATAGAATAAGGAGCCAATGATGAATGACAGCATTACATTCACTATTGTCTTTGTCATGTATGGTCGTAGATCGGCTCGAATCAAAGCCCACTGCCTTAAGACAAGGTATGCTACCTGTCTGAAGTAATTGACTGTATATGATGAGGAATTAGGTGTCCACCTATCTTTCTTGGCGCGATTGGCGTGTAAGATGTGATGAGCCGGCCCGGAGGAAGGATAGAGCGACTCGTATTCAATCATCTCCTGTTTAAGGGTATCATATTGCTTAGAGTGCTTGTAGGCCTTCACGAAGTCGAGCGGGGTACGGGGTACACGATCATGATAACCGTCTCGAATGCGACAAGTCTCCGGATCGGTGACTGCACAGAGGAAATCAGCTGCAGGTGGTGCTTCGGCTCGTTCGAAGCCCAGTTCTTCAAAATATTTCACTGCCTCGGAGATTGGTCCAAAGTAAATCTGGTTTTCTGAATAGAGCAGGAGAAGCTTATTGAATCGAGAATATAATGAATCTGAAGCCTGACGTAATCCTACGATTGAAGATCTTTTTCCTAATTTAGCCCATTCTTTGAGACTTTCAATCATCTGAATTGCGGTAGACAAATCGAGAGCAGGTGTAGCATTATCGAGATATAGGATCGAGCAATCCGTCATTGAGATATATTTGCTTTTCACGAATCCAAAACAGAAATGGTTTAAGAACATACTGGCAGCAGGAGTGGCAGTGGAGATTGAATATGAGTGATGTCGTGGTCATTAGATATGGGTAGAGTCCATTTCTCCCAGTGCAGGTATCAATCAATCACAACAGTGAGACTGTGATTTCTTCAGGTAAGAGATTTTGGTTCAATTTCTGAAGACTTTAGGCTTGCTTTTGATATATGAGGATGATTGGATTTCCGAGGTAGGAAATTTACAATTGTTGGATGTTTCAGATGTAAGAAAGACGGATACTGAGGTAGGTGTTGTTAGGTTATTTTCAATAGGTTTCGAAATAGAAAGGTAAAGGAATACATCGTCAGGTTATATAACGTGTCTATCTTTTGCAAAGAAAAACAAGACATGAAAATAGCTAGAAAAGAACATACCACATGGTCAACGCTGAAACACAATTGTTTGGTGGGCTCCAACTTTCAGCTTAAATTGAATTGTATGAATGATGGCTGTTGATGCATCGAAGAGATACTGCGATGCATGGGGATAATCCACAGTTAGAGGAAAACCCACCCAAACCAACACGTCGGGTAACTTGCATTTTTTTTGATTTTCTGGTTGCTGGTAATGACAGGCTAAGATTGGTTGACTTCGGTGACATTGAGATTTCCTGCATTCACACTGAAAATTCAAATCTTGATAATCTTTGTCTGTGTGTATTAGAGCTAAGAATCAATTCTGAAATATTTTGTTGATGTCGGTGGAGCCAAAGAGATGCATTTGCTAGGCATCGCGAGATCGAGTGCAGTTCACAATGGATTTGATTGCTCCAGATTGGTTTTGATGTGAGGCAAAGCAACACAGCGTGTAAATGATTGGCTGTGAAAATGATGGTGTAACTGATCATGCCAGTGGATGCAGATTGATTTGAAATGAAAGGTTTCTGACTATGGACAAAACTCGAAGATCACGCTAATGGTGGATTTTGTTGAGTTTTGTAAGCGAACCATCTTTGTGGTTAAATGTAATGATAAAACTGAGTACATGATTTAGTTGGAAAACAAACTGATTCTTTAAATAAATCAAACTGAGTACATGATTTAGTTGACAGTATCTTCCAAGTTTTCTGACTCGTCTCTGTATTTTTTCAATAACCTTGCTTTCATCAACTTGAGAATCTCTCTTGATTCGTCATCCGGACATGAATCAGCTGAAGTCATCAAGGTGTTAAGGTGCTTGGCTTCTTCCTCAAGTTTGAGAGCGCGTTCGGCAAGATCGTGACCTTTCTCCATAACTGCTGCTTTTCGTTCCTGAATGTCGGTAGCACACTTGAGTTCCTTGGTGCGTTCAACCTCGGTTTCACGTTCTTCACGTTGACGTTTGTTTTTCTTTTGGCCAACAGGTCGTTCATTCATATCACTAGATGGAGGAGGAGTTGATTGAGGAATATACGGTGAGCTAACACCAGACCCGCTGGTAGAACTAATGGGGATGTTGATGGCTGAATTGGTTACATTTGCAGCTGGATTGGCGACTGCGAGCCATTTGGGAGCATATCGAAGGATCTGCCAAGGGACCTCGTCTCTGAATTGCTGGCCCTTTGTTTTATTTTGATATTCCTTCTTAGCAATGTCCATGTAATCAGCAGGCGAAGTTCCACTCGGTGGGTTGCGTTGTATTGAACCGTAAATTCCAGAAAACTTCAGTGTTGATGTATTAATCAACTTCCACCTATGATGAATCATCAGCTTCAGTTTATCAAACATTTGTATCATATCTACTTACCGGTTTCTAAGCTGATCACAAGAATGATTATGTATAGTACATGCAGCCTTGAAGTGCTTGGTCACTCTATCGTAGAAATCACTTCCGGTTTGATTGTTTGCAAATTTAAGATCTTGACTGATAGCAACCCAAGAGATCGCCAGCTGCTCATCCTCTGCCGCTACGAAGTTGTCACCACGCTTCTTCGAGGTGGTAGGGGGTTGTGCATCTGATGGTTGATCCATTTGGGTTGTTGGGACTGGTAATCGATGAGGTTGAGGTTGAGGTTGGTGACGAGGTTGATCCGAATCAGAGTGATTCACCGTGCTGAAGGATAGAGCGGATGGGTGCGGGGTTGGGTTTGCGAGGGCACGGAGTTAGCTAAAGAAAATCTCTAGGCTTGGATAACTTTGACCCAGCCTAGAGATTTTTTGACGAAAAGTTAACTAATGATTGGTTACAGATTGACCGTTGCGGGAAACCTGTAAGCTTTAGGTTAAAAAGTTGGCTATTCCCCCGACTTAACCCGACGATTGCGGGTGCTCTCAGGGAAAGACTTCATCTCTAAAAGTTTCACAGAGGATGGATATAATGATTGAAGAAATTGGTTTGAATGAAAGTTGTGAATTAATTTTTTGATCCATTCATTAAGAAATTTGATTCCTGTTTAGAAATTTGTGGAAGTTTGATCATTATGGAGTTAATTGGGCTTCCTTCAAAAGAAGTTATCAAAAATTAATTTTACTTCTTTAATTTTTGAAATGTATGGAAATATCTAAAACATCAATTCCAGATTTATGATATTGGTTTGTTTGATTTTTTGATTTGTTTGATTTCTAGACAAGGGGATTTAGAAACCAGTACAACCACAGAAGAAGAACAAGAAAGTTCACAAAATTGAACTTATCACCCAAATTAATTAGACCATCCACAATCTGGACTCATTCAAATAATTCAATGAGCACATCATTCAAGTTAAGGGTGAACTGCGTTTGGCAGCAAACCTCGATTAAACTCCCAATCCCTACTACAAATTCCAAGTTTACGCGTCTGAACCAATGAATTCCACTCTCACGTGTTTTACCACCTTACCCTGTACTATCCTCATTCTTCATTATCACCCTTGGACTACCCAATGACATCAACCTTTGCAATATCTGTCCAACATCACAGCCACTCGCAAGTAGGCAATCAGCAAATTGGAACTCAAAAGCCAAAACATTGTATCACACACTTTCATGCATGCCATTCTCAACCCCAAATCACATTCTCTATCAACCGTCGACACCACCTTTCAATTTTCTCCTTCAAAAACTTTTGATTCCCCAACCTGTTGACTTCACTATCCTCTTTCCAATCACCGGATTGCTTGACAATTGCTCTCAGATCACATTGCCTTGGGCTTGGGTTCTAATAAAACCCTTGAAATTTGTTTTCTCAACCATGATAGTGCTTGACTTGATGGTGCAGTTGCTACTCATGCGTGTGGCCATCATCGTTATTGGCGCCCAGTTTGGCAACTCATCAAACCATTCAATGTCAGGCTCGCACTTCATATTCCTTCATTTTCATTAACTTTTCTAACTTTGGTTTTTTTTGTACAGTATCAAGAACAAAGAAGATTTGTCATGGGATTTGTTGCGAATGAGATGGAAGGTTGTTCATTTGATTTTGGATTTTATTTTTAGCTCGATCTAAATTCTGATGATGTTATTGGGTTTTGTTTTGGTTTGCAGTTGGACCTGGTGCTCAACACATTTGTAATTTTGGGAATTTGATCTAGATTAGTTGATGAATGATGTAATGACATGATTGGTTGACCAAATTTTCTTTCCTAGAATTAATACCTAAAGATACTTGCTTACTATCCATCACGAGCAGCTTTACCGCGAGATACAAATACCTCTCATCCATGTCCAAGTTTCATAATCACCCCATTAAATACCAGAAGGAACACCACCGTTTTCAACCAGTGTATCAACCTTGGAACTGAAACCTGATCCTAACAAATCATCCTCATCAGAACCACCTCCACAACAAATGTTTACTAAACTTGGTCAATTTGATTCAGCTAAATCAAAACCAGAATCTCAAAGAATTGAAACCCCACGTCAAGTACAAATATTAGGACAAGGTAAATTGACGATTAGAGGGAAAAGCATTAGATGTCAGATGCGGGAAGAGAATTAGCAGCAAGAGATCATGTTTTATCTCATTTACCTGATGAAGAAGCTGGTTTTGCTCCATACCAAATAGGTATCACTAAGTTTAAAGGAGAAGCTATGAATAAATATTGGTCACAACATCCAAATCCATAACCAAATTTACCGCTCAATAGTGCTGATGAAGTGAAATCTGATGAACCATTAGGAGGTTCAGCATGCTTACATGTTTTGACACACATCACCCCTAACCCCAATCAAACACAACTCATTTCACCTCCTTTATCGAACCCAGTAACCAACAATATTTTATCAATTACCAAAACTCCAGACCCAGATATCATTATAATGATACCAATCACAGTGCCCGTGGTGAAGGCCCCCGACGTTGGGGGCCCTGTGGTGATCACATTTTGCTCGCGTTTGTCTTGCATTTGTCTTGCAATCGCAAGACAAAGGCAAGTTTCTGTACGACTGAAACTCATCAGTCAGAGTTCAGGGGACTCCAGGCGAAGGCCAATGGGCGCCCAGCTGACCTGAACACTTGGTCTTTCTGACGTCTTCCTGACTGAACAATCAGTAGCCCTGATTGAACACCTGATGGAACAACCAGGAACAACCAGGAACAACCTGTGGAATGAGAGCATCAGGGATATATGAGATCCTGTGTATACAACCCCGGACAAAAGTCCCTCGCCAAGGCCCCAAGGCTGAAAAGGTTGACCCCCAGAGGGTTTTATGTATGCCGGAAAATAGCCCAACGCAACTGAAATATGGCCTAGTCCAGAAAACTTAGAGAACATCGCCGGATAGACTTGGTATCTGTCATTTTCAATATCTCACATTATTCTATCAGATCTAAATCCTAATTCGGATCAGAGCTTATGGTGCAATGTACATTGGTACATTGTAAATTATCTCACCGGAATGGACAACTTGGATCCAATTCCTATTCAATCAACAAATGCACTTCGTTCACTCCTATCTATGATTCAATCGCATCAACCTACCTCTCCAAGAAAAACTGGATTATATGCCCTCTCAAGACTATGGTCACATCTGGATTTACAACTTCTCTTGGTATGATCTGCACTATTTTTCTCAGACTTTCATTTCGCGTTCATTGAGATTTTTGATTCATAAAGGTATCATATGAACAAGAAGTGATGGAAAAACAACTCGAGATAACAGCCGACAAGGTCTTGAATAGTGAATTGGATCATCAAACGAGTCGACTCGAGACAAGGATGTACAAATTTTTAGCTTATCTTGGTCAGTGTTTTAAAACTCGATTCAACGTAAATATTGATGAGCTTATAATTTGATGGCACTTCTTTGTAGCCATTGCACTTGGAGAAAAACGGTTTTCATCCGATTCAACCGCATAGTAGGAAGAGATACGCTTTTCCCGAACTCAATCAAACTATTCGAAATGCTATTCAGCTGCACAATGGCTTGGTATTCCCAAAATTAAACTGGCCTGCACCTCAACTTCGCTTTCATTTACACAGCTTGAAGCTTACCATTCCAAACTCCAGGTTGCAATAGGATATGTCAATACTAATAGACTGTCTTCTTACTTGGAAATGTCTTTGCCAGGATTCTGCATTCATGTTACCTTTGGGCAATGGTCTCTTGCGCTGTTGCTGTGCCAATGATATATACACACTTCTCAAAACTAGTGATTGTATAGCTCACCATCTGAATCATGGTAAAGAGAAGTATTGTAACAGCACCTTTCCTTTCGTGCTTGTTTTACGAGAATGGTTCAGCCTGAACCCAGCCCACAAATTCAGATGCTTTGTCAAAGACCGCACACTGATTGGTGAGCATAATTCATTAATCTCGAAGCAAAGGTGAGATCCTTGACAGTGCACAAGCTCACCAATCAAATCATCACACCTTCTTGAATAGCAATCTCATCACGCTCTTCCACTCATTTTGATTTCCTCCAACCTGTCGAGGTTCAAGGAGCCATCATCTCACAAATCTCATCCTTGTACCAGTTCATCATCATGCCTAAATTGACACTCTGTGATTGTCAGTCATACGGACTTAATTCTAGCAATTTCTAGAACCCCAAATTAAAATTAAAGACATCATTAAGATTAATCAAATTCTTAACAAGATTTGATTTGATGTACAATCTTGAAATAATTCAGCACAATCTCCTCCTTGTAAAATAAAAGCTTCACCATTTGAAACTGAAATTAATTGTGTTTTTCTCTTACTATCTATCATCATTAATCCCATCAAAATGAGATAGTTTTTTTTAATTTTAGTTTTTAGTTTTTGGAAAATGAGTTGACTTACTTCTTGTGGAGTGACTAAACCAGGTAAAGTGTTTAATTTTTGTTTTACATTTAATAACTTATGAGATGATTCTGATGGATAGATTAGATTTTGTTAAATTGGTTTGTTTCTCCAAGTAGTCTTGCTCCATTCTTCCACGGTTAAACTGATCTGATTTGATTTGATATTTTGAATTTGAATTTGAATTTAATTTGTTTAGTGAGATCTGTGACATGTTATGTTGCAGTTGAATGTAGTTGATTCAACTTTCAATCTTCACTCTGAAAGACTTTCAACTCAACAATTCACAAAATGAACCGAATCATCAATGACAACACTCAACTTCAAATTCCAATTGACTCTGTACCTTGTAAGTCAATCAAACCATCTTCAATCTCATCATCATCATCCTAACTTTGATTTCTTTTTAGATTACAATTGAGATTGAGATTTAATTCCAAAACTAAGACAAAGAGTAGACTGTGAAATCAAACAAGAAATCAAACTAACATCATCAATACCATCACATCGCCCATTCTTAAATCCATTCCCAGATCTAACTACAAATCCAAACAAACCAAACAAAATCTATCATGATTTATTACATCAATCACTACCTACTTTAAGATCTCAATCTGATTCTTCATCTCAAATCAAACCTAATCAATTAGATTTAGAAAGACGTAAGATTCCATGTTCAAATGATCAAACTGATTTGGAAGAATGGAAAACTTCATTAAAGAATGCTAAATCACAAATCGAACAACAAAGGATTTGATTCATCAATTTAAATTTAATCCATCAATTTGGATCTAATCATCAGAGATTAAATAATTTCTCAATCAAAAAAGAAATTCAATAATTAGAATGTCAGGTTGGATTTGAATCTAATCTAATTGATCAAATTAATAGACGTAGAAAAACCAATCAAGTTAAGTTTGATCTCTTTCAAGTCTTTTGGTTGCATTAGTTTGGATTGGATTGTATAAACTGATTTCTTTTTTTCTATAGATGGAATTAGGTGAAAGATTAAATGAATTAAGTCAAAAATGGGAAGATTTAATCTCAAGTAACATTTCACTTGAAATCATGAATTTAAATTTAACCCATGAAATTCAATTGTTGAGATCTCAAGAACATGAATTAAAGAGAAAATTAAATCAATAAACTACTTACTTTAGTTTCTAGAAAGAAACAAAGGAAAGGTTTTTGGAAGGGAGATAAGGAAAGTCATTGAAATTTCAATTATCATTCATCTTGGTTCTTAAACCCAATGTTGAATTGAGGTTTCTGAATTGAAAGGAAACAAAGTATTCCAAGTTCAATTCAATCAATTCAGTCATTAGAACCAACATATGAGAATTATAGGCTTTGAAATTCATCTTACAGTTTGTCTAATGTTTGAACACATGTTTTTTTTGTCAATCAACATTTTGTATTTGTATACAATAAGAATTCTTTTTGAAAAACAAACATCACATTTGTTATGTGTGAGAGTAGACTTGATTCTTTTCAAAGTTTAATATTTAAGAATCTAGAATGTCAAGTGAAGATGAATTTTCTCACTTGGCAGTCAGCTTTGATGTGTATATCATCAATCCCACCCAAATTATTCCACCCAATGGAAAACTCAGTCCCAAACCCAAACTTGTCGATTTCAACCCCCTCAGCTCTTATAGTGAACCATACCTTTTCTCATATGAAGAATTATCAACTTACACTTACTTTTCCTCAACTTCAAACAGCTAAAAACATCCTTAATTTTTGGACTAAATTTCAATCAAAGGCAAAACCCATACGGAGTAAGTTACATTGTTTTCTTTTCAAATTTGAGCTGGAAAATCTTGCATATACCTGTACATCATGATCATTTGGTCATGGTACTACTTGTACTACTTTGTATGCTTTATTTTTATTATTGAGTAATTGCACAAGTGAGATATTGTATTTGATTGAATTTGTAGTTTCATTAAGGAACAATTTATTTTGAATGTGAATTATTTGAATAAAAAATGCTATTGTAAGCTTTCACGGTTAATATGTTGATAATGATCGCCTTCAAAATGATACTGTATAATTCAGGATCCAATACTTGCCCCGGAGAGCCTGGCCTCTGAGCATCATGTTGAGGTCTCGGTTTGACAATGGTACAAAAATGACCTTCCTCACTCCATGCGTCCAACCTTTGCTAGGTGATGTTTCAGTTGATAAAAGTGTTATTAATAATTGAAGCAAGTACATACAACAGTTTTACATATAAATCTCTGGAAAGAGATGCTCGATTTGTTTCAAATCACCAGCAGGTGTAACCAACAAGCAGTCGAGCAAGATAAGCAAATGAGGAAAAGAATATAAATATGATTTGCAGAATCAATCTATATTTTGTGGAATTTTACTGACTGGAAAAATTTCAAAGGGTGTTTGATACCGATGCAAGAGCATGGAGACAGATGAGGCCCTTGGTCCAGTGGCACTTGGTGCAAGTTGGACCAATGGGTGTGCGGATGAGGGAATGGTGGTGATTGGGAAAGAGGACGTGTTCAAATGTAAACCGTCCCTCTCTCTCACAAACACTTGGGCTCGATTCATTTCAGCTCAGGGCAGCTCATCTCCACTCATTGTGGCTTATCCACGTTGATGAAATGAGCTGATTGCTCGATATTCCTCATGCAAATACAGGCAAATACAGGCAAATACCTGAGTCCAGCAATGAGGATGGGCAATCTCAGCGTTTGCAAACAATTTGCAAGCGTTTTTGCGAGTCTTTTGCGAGCGATTAAAGGGCCCCTGACGTCAGGGGCCTTCTCCACCGGCACTGTGAATTATTCTGGCAATAGAACTTTGTCATAATCATTGATACATTATCACCTCAATACATCAATGTCCATCAATTGCATTGAACTTCAAGATTTAGCAAAATTGGCACAACTCCTACTCAATCTAAAAACAAATCTGCACCACATTCAACTATAAACTTGAAGTATTTATATAAAATGGTTTTACTCAATTCACCATGTTAACAAATCGAGAATTTGAAGGGTCCAGAATGTTGAACACACTGATATCACTCACTTTATCAATTTTTATTAGACATTTGATGAGACCATCTCTGACTAATAAAGAATCTTTTTAGCACATCTCTTTTGAATGAGTTCACCTTATCAGATCCTTATTCTGAAGTCAATCAAATCTTACAAAGAACAGTGAACGGTAAATTATTCTTCAAGGTTCAATCATCATTGTATATCATGTGAAACTAATGCAACAATCATCAAGATTCAAACTCAAGACAGCTTTCATCTCCAGTAATTCAAATTCACATGGCCCCACCACCGAGCAAAGCCACATGAATCTAAATTAAACAATACTCCACATTTATGTAGTTTTTAATTGAGGTACAGGATAAGTTGGAGCTGTATTATCTGAAATTCTTTCAACACTGATGGTCTTGCCCCTATCTAGCTAATTGTGAAGCTCAAGTTAAATTTGAAACTTTAACCTTTACTCCTTGTAATAGGTTTCCGTTCACAAAGCTCTGATGTAGATGAATTTCTTGAAGATTAGGAACTCAAAAAACTGCAAAGAAAGTGACAAATATTATGGGAACTGAGGTTTCAATCTCTCATTTACCTCATCATGACTTGTAATATAAGCACTATCAAAAAACTCAAATGCTCAATAGAACTCTGGAAGTAAATCCCAAAAGAACCTGTTTCATGAGCGCATTGAAACACTTGGTGTGAATCACCAAAAGGAGTCTATGTGAAGTAATGAAAATGATCAGCATATCAATGTCCATCATCAGCCTGGGCATGAAATGGTTCACTGTATTATGTGACGATTCAAATGAACCCCTACACCACATCTTACAGACTTGGCACAATCAGCAGGTGGACATGTCGATAACAGAATTATTTCTGGTCTACTCTTGTTGCTGCCTGAATCTGTGCTTATCTTGAGATTGGTGATGTTGGTGTTCAAAATGGTTCATGAGGACTTTTGCACTGTTATGCCTTCTGATGTGGTTAACTTTGATGCTGGTGTGCAGTGAAGAAGCACATCACATACACCAGTCATGGATGGTGTTGTGGCAGTGCTCATGGTTTACGTGTGTATAGAAACACAAAGGTTAGTATATGTGCATGTGTTTTCCCTATGTCTGATGACTATGACTGACCAGTTTCTTCTATGTCCATAGTTGACACAACATATGGAGCAGTTTTTAGCCCTGGCAAACATCTTGTTGGTGATTCTGTTTACCCAGTCACTAGACATTTGATTATAAACTTCAAGATGCTTCAGAGCACGCCCCTTCCCCATGCACCACCAAGATATTATCCTCGGATCTGGGTATCCAAGTTAACAGCGGATAGCTGTCTCCAAGTCTTCACCAGATGATTTGGTACCAAGTGAAATATCTGAGTTAACCGTTGTGGTGATCAGATCAACTTCAAGGCTCAGCATTTCATCACTTGAAGCTCTGGTGCTGTAGGATGATTTTTAAATTGTATTTTTCATTATCATTTATTTTTATTATGCTCATTGGCAGAATCTCATCAAGTTCATAT